TATAGCTGTCCACAACAAAGTCCTAATCTCCAATCCGACTATAGAACCCGCCCCCCCCCGGGATGGATTTGAATCGCCTAGAATGATCGAGATTAAACAGGATTCGAACAAGAAAAGATCTCTGTGGACACCTACTCCACCACTGGAAGATGAACTCCAACCCGCAGTATGACTGCGGTCATGAAGGTCAGACAATGCGGCACATTATTTTGAAATGCCCGCTACGAAAGTTCTACTGCCGCATAGCTGATGTACAGAATGTTACGGCGTCGGCCACTCACAGGCTTAGAGATTTTGACACTAAACTCTAAAGTTGCTAGTCATCTCCTCCAGCCATATGACAGAAGAAAAAACATTAAGTTGATTTACCCTTGTTCTACAATTGTTTCTCTTGTTGTGTCTGTTGTCAATGTTTATACTTCATGTTGCTGTGCAGTTTGCGTTCTTCACTTTTATCTATTGTGTGTTCCCCTTGATTGTCTCTATATTTATTCTCTTTTACACTCGCTTTTGTTTAAATTTTAATATACCGGAAGTACCTTATTTGCTATGTAGGTTGTGCTACTCGCTTGTTTCTCCTTACCCTTTTCCGTAGGTACTTCCTTAAGTTTCCTTTCGCCACTCATTTCGTAAGTCGATTTCTTGTCCTACGTATGTTTTCCCGTCATTTATATTCTTCCCCTGTTTTCTTTTCTCTGTTGTTTACTGCCGTCACTGGACCGTCGTCCGTTGTCCAACTAACTGCCCTGCTTATCATAAGCGATCGTTTGTTGTTGCTGCAATCAACTCTTGCCTTTAGCCATCGATCGGGAAGTAAAGATCATTATCTGTTCTCCGTACGTTCGGTACTTCGTTAGGTTTTATCCTATTCTCGTTGACGTTCGTATTTTAAAGCTGTGTTTTCCATGGAAAATAATTTATTTTCTTGCGTATGTTCTTTACTCTGACTTGTGTGTTTTCTTTCCACTTTTGTTTTCCTTTGCTTCTTGTTTGCTGTAGGCTGTAGCTGCTGTCTCGTCGAAACCTTTTCTACCAGGTTCGCTGTAAGTACAAATTGTGTTCTGTATGTTTTTGCCTTTCACTTCTTGCAGTAGCCACTTCCGTTTCGTCCTGCGACGAGTTGTTCGGCCATTCTGCCGATTTCGATGGTTGTCTTCTTCTTATTTCGTGCTCTTTGCCGTTTATTTAGCTTTTGATTCAGGTCTGCTGGGTGTGTGCTTTTTTTATTTCTTTCCTTCTTATGATAAAGTTTCTCTAATCATTTTTCGTTGTGTTCTTTTTCACATCTTGTATCTTTGCTGCATCTTACTCCATGTACGCAATGTTTCTTTGCAAGCTTGTTTGTACTTCCCTTTCATAAAACGAACCTAACCGTTTTATCGGACTTTTTGACGTAGAGCGATTTGATTACATTGCTAGCCCCTATTGTAGCATTGTCACCATCCTGTTTCCTCGAAATTTCATCACTCTTTTTTCCTTGTTCATATAGCATCGTTACAAAGACTATTTTCAGTAAACATATTGGTTACGTTCATCTTCACAAGTAATGTGTTTCCCGCATTTTGAGCGTTTGTTTCTTATGTTTGTTGTGTGACATTTGCTCATTCAGCTTAACATGCTGTATCCATCCATATTCACAGTGTTTTATTAAAATACTTGGTACCGATGTTCATTGTCGTTAGTTGCTGCTTTTATCGCTTTGTCATATGTGGCATTCATTGGCATTATTCCAGCTGTGGCCTCACTTTCTCTGGCTCGTCAACTGCTTTATTATTATTGATCTGTGTCCTTGCCTTAAATTCGTGAGACAAAAGGCATATTTTTGTATTCGATTCCTTAGTTAGCGTTAATTTTTTCCATGCAGCTTTATCTTCTAGTTGCATACTTTTGTTTCGCCGTTTATATTTTGAACATGTTGTGATTTCGAATCTACACAGTAACATTTTCAACCTTGTTTCATGATTATGCAATCGCTTTCTATTTGTTTTGCTCTTAGGATAAAGTTAGTATAAAATTAAGTGCTCATTTCTTCATCACTTGTGTCATTCGTGTTTCGAACTTGCTTCGAATGGACATCTATTTGACGTTGTTTCGTAGTTTTTTATAATATTTTGAAATGAAAAAGTATACCAATAAAACATATTTGGTTCATTTGATTAACCTGGTGCAAATATATGGAAGGAGTCTGTTCCAGCTGCATTTGTCTTTTGCCGAAGCTCAGACTCTGGCACAGGATCGGGAACGTTGGAAGCACTGTCTGACGTTTCTGCCTCCGCGACCCGAAAGGAGAAGCGGCGATGGAAGAAGAAGAAGAAGAAAAAGAAGATTCATTGAGTAACTTTAAAGCTTTTTTGGCTCTACACTTGTGCTCTGTTTCCACCGAAGCGTTCTTTGGAGATTTAATTGAAACAACAGGACAAAAATATTTATCGAAAACATAACCCCACTGTTCTGGGATGGACTGCGCAACGGAGGTTCCGATGCCATCGTTACATATATGATATTAAAATTAAGATGCCGGATTAAAATGGCGCAAATGCAGAGTGTAAAGAAAGAAAAATGTATCTCTCACTTTACACCATCTGCGTTATTGCACTGCCCCTTGCTTAAAGTCTCCTAGAGAGCTATTTAAGCAGGCCACGGCTCCCTGATATCTAAGATCCTGCAGTGCAGAGGACACAAGGCCTCGTCTCCTAACTGGAATGAACAAATGAATGTTCCCTAACGCGACGATCCGAATAGGGAAACAAATCGAAAACGCAACCCCAGTGTGCTGGGGTATACTCTACGAGTGAGATCTTTCGTCGACACAAACTTGACACGACAGTTGTTTCTAACTATTCGTACTACAGATCAGTGAGACGCTGACAAATAATACATAAGAATTCTGCACATCTCAGCGACAGAATTTCAACAGTATATGTGATTCTTAATCAATCAATCATAATAATAAACAACGAAGTATTATTGGAAGAAATTATGAATGGAGACCAACGGGTGAATGTTATGGAAAAAATTAGAAAGAGTAACATAGCTTCACAACATAGTAATACAGGAATACTCCTGAATTTAAGTCGGGACATGACTAATGAATTAGAGTCGAGGAGAAACTTCAGGGCACCAATTGCTTGCATTATCCATAATTAAACCGCGTTTTATGTTGTTTTCAGCAAAGGCTGCAGCCCATAAATAAAAAAGTGGTGATGAGTACTCGTCGCTTTCATATTCTGTTCCTTTCCAATCTACGGTACCTTTCACTTCATCACAAGCTGTAATTTTGTCACGTAGCGAAAGAAATCCGCATCAAATGTTCAGCTAAACACTTTATTATTTAGTCTAACACGAATATAAAATTTTTCAAGTTTAAAGTTCCAACCACCATAAGTTGTAACGGCACACGACACATCGAAAATAAAATTTCATGGTGCATTACACCGTCTCCTTGTTCTTAATTGCCTAAGTGGGCAATTTAATCTGACCGCGACTCCATGGCATTTGAGCACCTGCATTGCCAGATGCGTCTCATATGATATGGTTCGTTAAAGCCACCATAGCCAGTTGTCAAGATACAGCGAAAAACATTGAACGGTAGTAAAATCCTCCAGGTCAAATTTTGGAAGAGAAGGGGCCGATCGTTGTATTGAAACCTGAAAGGCTTGCTCGAGTCTATTGGATGATCAGCAGCGATGATGACGATGAATATCTTAAATTAAACCGCACACGGTGGTCATTCCAGTCAGGTCGAAAAATGTGGTCAATATCAGGCGTAAAATCCAACTTTTTCTTAGCAGGACAGAACACTCTGAAAAATGTGACTTATTTCCATCGTCTCAATTAGCACAGCGGATTCATGCATCATGTTTAGAGCTGCTGATTAATCTCACATACATGGTGCATTTGATTTTTACCGTCCATCGCATACGATGTCAGCATCAGCACAACGGCGATCAAGAAATATACACCTCTCGTCGATCCTCATGGAGTTCGTTTATACAGTTTTCAACTAAGCTGCCTACGAAGTATCCTCTAGGTCAACCGTATCACCGGCTCACAAATGAACACTCGCTGACGACCAGCAGTCTAAATAGATCCATTGAAAGATTCAAAAAGCCTGCATCTGACAGGAAATGTGACCCTTGTCTCAGCAGCTAGCATAGCTTTATATTAATATGGGGCCCCATTGCTAATGGCTAGACAATAAACCTGGTCTATTCAAAATTTATTAACGTTAGATAACAGAAGTAAAACAAAATCAATAAGCTTTGAGCATACCATAACTGTTAACAAACGACCAAAGATACGAATGTTACGTTTGCTGCGACTTTACAGCCTTGAATGATTCCTCTAATGCTCGGATGAAGCGTCGAATATCCATGAAGCTGTTGTAGAGCGGTACTGGCGAAACGCGAAGGACTTTAGGAAGCCTTATGTCACACTAAAATGTGCTGTGAAGAAAAAGCCTCTGACTGACAACTGCACCGTACCGCGACCCCTCGCTTTCGTAGTTCTCCAAAAACCGCTTGCAACTTTTCTTCAATTGATAGTGATAATTGACAACCGCGTCTTTCTGGATCTCTTGGAGTGATTATGAAGCATTCTTCGATATTACCCGAATTCTTGTTTCTGAAACGGCTATCGAGAAGATATTCCAAATAGCCAGTCAACAGCAACGACTTCGTACGCAGCGTGTTCATGGACGTCTCAGAGAAGATCTGGCAAAATCACTGTCAGTATTAACAGTAAGCAAAATTTTCGCCTTGCTGTGCGAATAGATAACTAAAGAATATCTACCTAGTAGCGATTTTAAAACACTATTTTCTAACCAATAGTAAATAATGAAATGGTGCTTAACAATGGATAGAAAAGAGCTATACCGATCCAAACTTAGTTAAGAGTTCTGTTTCTCAGACCTTCACTTAGTACGAATTTTACGTATGATTTATCCCATCCCACCTGTTAATGACGCATAATTGATAAGTTTACAGTACATTAGCATGTTTATAAGGCTTTTTTATTGGTTTTACCGATACACACGTATGAATCAGTTCTCAATGTGTGTAATTACTAATGCAAAGTAAATGATTTGTACTAATGATATAATACGGTATTAACGGTATGAGAAAACTGAAAGTTAAAAAATGTCTTATGTGGCCGTTTGGCTTTATTTAAGATGAACAGTGGTTTTTTTCTTGTCTTCATAAATCACTCGATAACAAACAAAGGCGTCAGCTATTTCTCATAGGACTTTAAAAAATTGTCAGGCATTAGGATCAGTCTTCGCCAACTATACTCGTGCGGAAAGCCTATCTCACGGAACGGCATTTTCATGTCTTTCATCAGGAAACGTTTTGGTTCTGCTTTTGGTTCTGAAGCCACTTTGGCTGCTTCTGATTCGATGCGTTTTCATATGCAAAATTCATCCCTGTGTGAGTCAATCAATTCCAAATATCATGTTCACCAACTTCTAATTTTAATTGCTTAACTGGCTTCTCTGCTTTGCAGCCAAGTCTTCAAACGTTTCGCTATATAGAAACAGTGGACAAAGAACGGACAGACTTTTTTCAAACTGAAAAACTGAACTTACAAAGCGTGTGTTGCATTTGCACAACTTGAAAAATACCATTGGACTCTTGCAAAAGTCTGACTTTTACATTTTCATCCATATTTTGGAAGGCAAATCCTTTCACGTGTTCCTTTCTACATGCAGCATCCCTCACAAGCGTACTCACTGCTGATGGAGCAAGACTAATTTCATCCCGTATGGCCGTCAAGCATTGTCTATTTTCATAATTTTCCTTCTTATCATTAGATTAATTTTTGTGTGTTTAGACATTTACTTTTTCACTTCTGTACTCTTCTCCTAAATGACTGTGCTTTACCACAACGCGAGCAAACACTAAATAATGTTAAATGTGTGAATACAAATGCACAGCACGTCCGAGTTCAATAGCAAGAAAAGAGGGAGCGAGACGGAGGAAGGCGCACACGTGCATTGCGTGGAATCTCTGCCTTGTGGAAGACACCTATAAGACGTCGCTGATCGCATGCGTTAAGTAAAATTTTTATAACTCGAAATTTCTTCAGTGACCTTTCCCCGATAACTTTGGAAAGTTTGAAGATACGTAGGTGTGATTTGTTTGTGCGGAAATAACATTAATGAAATTAATTTTGATGCGTTATCATTTCTTCATGCCATGGTTTGTCGTTTCTCCCACTGTCTTTTGAAACTCAGCCCAAAATCTCTGTAGTCCAGCGTTGACCGCTTTTTTACATTTCCCATCCTGTAGCCATTTCAACTTCCGCTCTACGTACAATTCTGTCGTTTCTTCTTCGCCTGTTTCCTCATTGTTTTATTTGTTCCTTTGTGTTATGTTTGTATGTTTGCAGAGATCATCACTGTGAGTCTTTTATATAGTCAGAACGTCCGTGGTTTACAATATCCGCTCTGTATCCTGCTTTTCAACACTATTGCAATAAGGCACCGATTACTGCATCATAGAAGTAAATATTCTTTCCTGAACGCAGATCTACCTCTACCTCGTTCCTCAGTGTTGCACGCTGGTCTCCTAATCGACACTCTATTTCCTCGTATTACTCCAAATTTGTATTTTGCCATGCTGCATTGCATAAGGTGTCGTTTCTGTACAGCCTTAACTCTTCGTTTAGGGTCAGTGTTTTGCATTCATATATTCGAAGACATTGAAATCAAGCATTGGGTGAAAAGTTACCATTTGAGTTGCAAGGGCTGTTTTTCAGGTAGGAACATTTTCATTTTTCCGGGGTTGTTCCATGCCATTCTATTCTTTTAATTATTTGGCATAGTTGAGTTTCAGTTCTCAGAACAGACGTCGTTTTTTACACTTCTTTAACTTGAGTCTGTTGACTTATTCGGTCTGTAGAATCACGTACCTGTCAAACACTGCATACTTGTATCGTCTTCGGATGTATTTTTGAGCTCACCTTGATGCAAATGTCGTTCAATTCTTCCATTGTTCTCAGACTCTTCTGGAGACACTGTGAGGATCAGAATAGCGCTTAAAAACAGTAGGTAGTTTGAGAACGATATACTTGTCTCAGCCAATGATTTTCTTAATCGAATGGTCTCTTGAAAAATGAGGATCTAGGAATGGAGCAATGCCACAGGTAAATTTGATTTTGCAGCAGTTATGGGCTTATTAAAATACTTGGGCGAACGACGTTTATATGAATATCTTATATATATTTATCTGATTTTTACATTGTT